CTTTGTGGCTGCTGCTGAAACCCCAGATAGTTACACCTTCTCCTACAACATCACGTTTGAGGTGGAAGGCCATGGCAGAGAGTGTTGGTCACAGAGCAACTGACAGCCCAACGCACCCAGCAATTCACCCCAACCTTTCCATAGAGGCACAGCACAAGGGCTAAAAAAAAAAAGAGCATTACAGCACACAAAGCCTCCACAGGCCTGACCTATTAGCAAGCTTCTTTTCCCTCCACACGGTCAGAGGAGTAAGAAATCTCAGGGGACACAGAAATTACTTTTACCCAGGTATACACAGAATTTTTCAGTTATGCCTATTGTTTCTCATTCCTGTAGGCTGGTGCTACTTAAGTTGCAGTGCCAGCTGCCATACAGATGATTTGGTGGTAGCAATATTTGAGAAGAGCTAACCAGATACTCTGGTGGGAAGGGACTTGAGCAGCCTCAGTTTGTCTTGGTATAAGCAAGAGTTTTATCCCAATTTCTTGCAGTCACTTGACAGCCAGCTGCACAGGCCACCTTCCACTTCTGGAGGCCCGTTACATGCACATGAGCATGTAACTAGACAGACAAGAAGCGGTTGCAGACAGAGGTAGAGACGCAGTGCTACATTACCACCAGCACCGATACCCTCCCTTCTCCCGCTCGCTATTCCACACCTTTAACTACCAGATCCACTCACATTACAAAGGCAGCAATCTTTATTTTCTGACACATTAAAATTCTCACACTTAAAATACCCCCAAAATATAAAATTTTTTTGAGTTCCAAATGTTAAGTTCCTGATAAACAGAAGAAAGAGGGAAAATGACAAATCATAAGCAAGATGTTCAAATCCCCAGGCAGAAAATACTCTTCCCACCCTCCTATGGCCTCTAAACTTTAATTCCTCACGCTAACCGTGGTCTCCTGGGCCCCTCTGCTACAGCCTAGAATCCAGGCACGAGAGTAACTGTGAAAGCCAGAGGGGAAATCCTGGAAAATGATCATTGGAACAAGTTGCAGCTCAGGTATATAGGGTGGCTCATCAAGTCTCATCCAACCCTCAATTAGGTGACACGGCTTTGCACACAAATGCAGCTTCCTTTAAGAACAGGGCTCTTCTCACTGTCACTTTTCAGGTAAGGAATGGAAATGTGGAAATCAGGCTCTGCATAACCTCTCTTGGTGGCTGGCATTTCCACGAGATGGGGTGAGCAGTTCTTACAGCCCACCACCCCATTTCCCAGATATGCACTACTGCTGTTCAATTCATACTGGCTGTGGGCTCAGCAGACTGCTCCACAAACTAAATTTAACTTAACCCACCTAACAGGGAAAAAAAGGTGTTGGGGGAACCATTTTCTACCAGAGGTGAGTTGCACCAGAAGACAGTCACACAACTGAAAGGAAAGCAAACCTTCCTCTCAACCATTATATTATCTCAGTTGCTCATGAAATCTCAGTTTAGGCTGCAAGTCAATGAACTTGCTTGAGGCTCCCCATACCAAATGTGTACATGTAGCTAACACGTCAAACCTTACAGCACCAGACTTTATTTACCTTAGTGCTATGGGGAAACTGGCCATTTATTTGAGAGAGACTTAACAGATGGAAAACAGCTCAAAGAGCAAGTGATCCAACCCAGAAAAGAAATTTTAAGGCATTAATGATACATTCACCTTGCCTCCTAACAAGCTGCAAGGCCCATTGCTGGGCGTAAGCGTAAGTTGGCATGTTTTATGTTCAGAGAGAACAAGGAGTAATGCCACATTGCAGTCAGAGCCTCTGAAACAAAAACACAGTAAAAAGCAGAGCTGGGTAGAAAAGAGGGCTTTACCTCCCCCACCTCCTTACCCATTCCCACTGAACCAAACATCACACCCTCCATGCAGTCAAGAGTTTTTTCTGCATCTCTGCTGCCCAGTTACATTCCCAATGAAAGTGTTACCAGGAGTGCCACAGCAGTACTAAAGACCTGGGTCTTTCTGGCAATAGCCCCCAATTCGCAACTGCAAGCAATGCAGTTGCTCAACTACTAAGGTGTATTTAGTCTGCTTCTCTAAGTACTCTGGTTAGTGGCCTCAACAGGAGTGGAAGGAAGACGAAGGTAGGAATTTATTGCAAGGTGAAACCATAAAAGAAGGAAATGGAAAAAAAAAAACCCCTGTCACACTGCAACTGTGAACTTGAAATGTCAGGTGGGAATGGGAATTACAGCCAGAGGGTTCAAATCAGTTGTTGCACTTAGAGTAACTAGCCAAAGGCAAGTTACTATACTTGCCATTTCACAGGTATCAGAGTTAAACTGGTTGAAAAATAAGTGGGAGGTTAAGATACAGAAGAGTGATTTATCTTTTTTCTACTAGATGGACAGGAAACTGAAATGAAAAATCACCACCAGCCTTTTAAAATAAGACCATAGAAAATGTGAGTCTTGGAGGTCACCCTGGTGGTGCCAGTAACACCAGCTCAAGGACGGTTGCAAATTAAGGGCCTAAACCGGAATTAGAAATAAAAGGGGAAAACATCCAACCATTCTCCCACGTGCCCACGCTGGCGGTGCCTGCCCCACAATGGGCTAGGGGAGACAGCATTCCAGGAAGGCTTGACATTCATAATGTCCATATGCCCATCCAAGCCATTCTGGTGAGCAGACGGTTTATGAATTCCCAAGGAAACACTCTCAGTCACTCTCAAACTTGACGGAATTGACTTGGGTTGATATAGTGCCCCCACGGTAGCTGCCTCGTTTTTTCTTTGTCTTCTCATGGCGGAAAGATTTGCCCTTAGTGAACTTCAGGATATTGTTAGCCTTCTCACCCCAGTCACCAGCTGCTCCTTTCTGTGAGGGATGAAGGGGGAGAGAAAAGAGAAATTCAGGTCAGTACCCCAGAGAGTAAAGGCAATGCTCTGCACTTCATTCTATCCAGCAAACACCAGTACATTAACACTGGAGCTGATACCAGTCTCATATGGACCTCCTGCCAGTGCTCACACACTTCCTAACAGCACCTCCTGGTGGAAAAGCTCCCACCAAAACGACTGCCCACAAGCACACCAAGGCTGCTCTGCCGAAGTGTATTTGCAGAGGCCAAGTGTTACCACCCTGGGCACTACCTAGCCCTACCTTTGCTTCAAATGAGTTATCAGCAACACGGGCATCCAGCTCAATCTCCTCTTCCCTTACTCGGCGGAATGGAGAGCCCTGCTGTTAGAGAAAATGAGACGCAGTAAGCACATACACATGCACAATATTCCCTTAGTGACAACCTCCTTCCCTCCTTGCCCTGCAAATACGGAGCCCTGTTCACATCATCTCAGTCTTTAAGTGTTTCTCAGATTCATAATCCTTTTCCTTCTTCAGATCAGGCAGCACAGGGATGCTCTTGTGCAAGCATATCCAATCAACCTTTGTCAGAATAACATTATGCACGCATGTGCGATCCCTAAAGCTCCCCAGACACAGTTTATATGCTTGAGGAGGGCACACAAATACAAATAATCCTGTGGGCTCAACATCCCCAAAAAACTGAAACAAGCCTGCTTGTTCAGGAGGCAGAGATGCTTCTCCCACCAGTCACCACAGTCCATCCTCACTCACCTTTTTCACCTTGGGAACTGTGTGTGGTGTTTTGGCTTTGATCTTTGCCTTTTTGTTGTGTGGTGTCTCTGGCTCCTGAACATCTTCCCTCTTCTGTTTCTTCGGGATTGTGCCTGTTAGACGTACAGCAGTAAAACTTCAAAGAGAGTAACTGCAGTGTTGGGAAAGGCAACGGCATCTCTCCCCCAGAATGCAAACCCAGTGTTGACAGAGGTGTTAAAGTCAGTCCCTGCATTACCTCATCCAGAATACAAGACTGCTATTAACACACACCAATAGCCATTCTGGGTCAGCAAAGATCTTCCTATCCTAGCCTAATGGATAAAGATAATTTTGTGGAACAGGGCGCCTCTGTTTTAATGATTTAGTGCACTTGAGAAAGTTCTGTTGGTTAAAATTTGCCAGTTCTTGGAATCACACAGTATGCAATTGCACACATCGCTAGGACATGCAAAGCTGTTTCCCTCCTGGAGGGATAAAGATTGAGACTGTGCATTGGGATATTATCTGTGGTGTCCCACTCACCACAGACAAGGTCCTCCAGCAGTCTGCCTTGCTGCCATTAACAATCTTGTGCATGCACAGATGGCAACTGACAACAACTGTACAGAAATGTGCTTCATGTTACCACAAATTCCATTGCCAGGAGATACACAATACAGACAAAAAGGATCACACCAAATTAAAAACCAGCTCTTCCCTCTTAGTACTGCACCAGATGGCATAATCTAATAGCACAGAGATTAGACCAAATATTTTTTAGGAAAGGCCCCCATTCATGCTTAGCTCAGTCACACTGCCTGACAGACCCACTTGCCACGCTGTAGGTAATACCTCCATTGGCTTTTCCAGTCTCTTCCTCAGAGCTGCTTTCACTACTGCTACTGCTGCCACCAGCTGGCTTGGACTTCAGGTTGTTTGCTGCTGGTGTGGATGCTTTTGCTTTCTCTGTGGAGGCAGTGGTCTTAGAACTGTTCTGTGCCCCTTTCCCTGCCTTTTTGGGCTTCTCATCCTCTTCGCTGGAACTATCAGATGAGCTGCTACTACTACTAGAAGCAGCTGCCTTCTTCCCCACAGTTGCTTTTGCTGCCCCTGTAGATTTGCTGGGTGGTTTCACTGCTGGCTTCTTTTCTTCTTCACTGCTTGAGCTATCAGAGTCAGAAGTGCTTGCTTTGGGAGCTGGGGTAGAAGATTTGGACACTGGCTTACTCACTTTGCCAGCTAATTTAGCTGGCGTTTCTTTCTTCTTCTTCTCATCCTCAGAGCTGCTGGAGCTGCTATCTGAATCAGAGCTACTTTGTGCCTTCTTTGTGGCAGCCTGTGGTTTCTTTATTGCAGGGGTTGCTGCTTTAGTTGTGGGCTTCACAGGGGCCTTCTTGGCAGAGCTGTCAGAATCTAAAATGGAAAGGAAAAGAATAATCAAGGCTAAGCCCCACTCCTTCAATATGAAGCTAAATGAGCAGATTCAGTGTTGATGCACAGTGCACTTCATTAGCTGCTTGAAACAACGCTGCAATGGGTACTCCTGTCCAACTGCGCCCTCATACCCTGCCTAGAAACAGAGGCCTGGGAAAGCACAACATGCATCTGGAAATTCTCATTGTCTCCTATCCCAGTACCTGAGCTGTCTGAGGAAGAACTGGAGTCTTTCTTTGCTTGTCCTGGCTTCACAGCTACTTTTGCTGGTTTGGAAGTATTCTTCATCACAGGTTGTTTAGCTGGAAGCTTACTCCCTACTTTCTTCTTATCATCTTCAGAGCTAGAATCTAAAGAGAAAAACAGGATGTTTTTTAAGTTAATAAAGTTCTGGTGCGAGTTACTTTAGTAATAACATGTATATAACTCATGGGGAAGTGAAAAGTAACATGGGTTGTGGCCCAAGGATGAGCCACCAGATAACTAGCAAGAAGCAGGATCTGATGAACACTTCCTGAATGGCCAGGGTACAGCATTCATCTTTCCACATATCTTCTTTGTTGTGAGAAAGTGGAAACAAGCAGTTTAAGTTCTTCACTAATGCATGCACAACGAAGCAGATCTTTGGAGAATAATGTAGGACAAGAGGTATGGAGTAAGGGACTGGACAAAGGTAAAGTACAGGTATTCACCAAGAACAAACTCAGCGAGAAGAAACATCGAGAAAAGAAGAAGCTATGCAGTAAAGATCAAAGAACAGGCAAGAAATCAGGAGATAAAACTGACAAAGGAGGGAAAATGAGGCAGCAACAGGACAGTATCTCATTTTAGCTTTTTATTTCCTGTACCAGACATGTTTAGCAGCAGTCTGAGGATAGACTGGAGACTCCTGTGTATAAATATGCCTGTCAGCCAACTGGAATGCTAAGCCTGATCTATTCTAACATTTCTGAACACTTTAGTGACAGTAATCAAAACCTTGTTGATTTGTGAGAAATCAGGCTAAAAAAACTGGAAGACACAGAACTCCTGCCACTTGTTGAAGGGTCACACAGTCTAGTGCTAGCTGTCTGCAGACAGACAGGCAGCTGCCACCCACAGACGCTTCCATGGCAGTAGAGATGTTGAGATATATAACAGTAGCACCCTGAACTTGGAGGGGAAATGCAGCACATAACAAGTTTACACAAACCTTAAACCTAATCAACAGAAGATACAAAGCACACTGCTCCCTATTTCTAGGGTCACATTAGGAGAAGTCATCTTTTGAGTCTATTTTTTAGTTTGGTATGCTGATATTTTTTTTTATTTTGGAAAAAATAAATATAGCTTCTCCCAGATCCCATAATGGGATAACAGAAACCAGAAAGCTTAATACATAGATCATCAAAAAGTGTAAGCGTTAACCTTCCTGGAGAAACCTGATACACATGATGCCCCATCCTTTCCATCCAGCAACAGGCAGACCTTCCTGCACTTGCCAATGGTCTCCTTGGTGTCTCATGGTCAGGCTACACTCTGCATAGCAGGATGCTGTTTTTCAATTTCACACCTTGTCAGCTATGGAGACTGTGAAGCTTTTGACCTTATAAGCTAAGGATCTTGTCAGACACACCACTATATAGCAACTTGGCCAATAAAAACATTAACAAAAAGACCCTAAAACATTATTTTTTTAATTACCTGAGTCACTGTCAGAACTGGATTCAGCCTTCTTGGTAGCCACAACTTTGGTTTTGGGGCCAGGGATTGTTTTAGCTACTACTGTTTTGCCTGCAAAAGCAAGTCTAAAGTTAACAGGCCACATCCACATCAAACCTCTATCCCAAGATCCAAACCTTTCCAGATGTAAAAAAGCTCCCTACCCAGGGCACCAGCCATTCAGCCAGCAGCATCAGAAGCCAAGCAAGGACCTGGCCAGCTGCAGCAATGGGCCTGGCTCATTCCCGCTAAACTAGATCCCAATGACTTTTCAAACCGACACATCCAAAGTAATCCAACCTGCACAGTTTGTATCCAGAGGTCATACAGAGTGTTCTGTTTGGGATGCCTTCAAATTACTCAGAAGCTTCCAGAGAAGCAAACAGCAAATAGATGAAAGTCATATGGCTTTTCCAAGGAAAATCAAGAGATTGCCAAAACGCTGCCCGCATCGTGTAGTACTTCCTTTGCAGCCTCCTCTCCTCACAACATACCTGCTCCTCCCTTTGGGGTCACTTGCTCTGCCTCATCACTACTGTCGGAAGAGTCACTGCTCTCAGTCTTCTTTGCAGGAGCCTTGGCAAGGCCTTTTTTTGCCTGTGTAGCTTGAGGAGGTGGTACAGCACTGTACTGACCTACAAAGAGAGACACAGCATTCAAATGCCTGCATGATAACGCAAGCAGCACATGCGAGATCTCTGTTGCAGTTTGAATAAGGCACTCTGCTATTTGCTTCCATTTAGTCCTCTTCTGTAGCTACAGTCAAAGAGACAAGCTTATAGTTTGATAGGTGACACCCACTCCACTGCTACCTCCTGTTTCTACTGTAAATTTAACTCTCCTCTTTGGGTTCAGCTGACCCAAACATCTTTACAGAAGTTTCCTCTGCACTTCAGGAAGAATGGGAGCTTGTGTCACCAAACTTTTTCAGGAAAAAAAATAGAGATATGAATTATTGATTGTTTTCATTTACTGCCTCCTCAAATCCTCTGGTTACAGAATCAGACTGAGTTTCGATGTTTGATCCTCTGCTCAGACCAGCTCTCTACTGGAATCCTAAAAGCGAGGCTGATCAGGAGGGCTTTAAACTAGGTTTGAAGGGGGAAGGGGTTGAAACCGGGCTCTCCAGTGATCAGCCTAAGGATGGAAAGCCTGAGTTAAGAATTACATCAACAGCCCACCTGAAGCGCATGTACGCTAATGCACGCAGTATGGGCAACAAACAAGA